TGGGCTCCCAAAATCCATCGTATCCGATCGAGACCCACTCTTCCTTAGTCGTCAATTCTGGACACAACTCTTCAAACAACTAGGCACTAAACTCAAACACTCCAGTGCCTATCACCCATAAACTGATGGCCAACACAGAAGTACTTAACAGGTGTCTCGAGTCATACCTTCGAGCCTTCGTATGTGACGAACCACGTTCCTAGCAATGCTACTTGTACTTGGCTGAATTTTGGTACAACACTAGCTTCCATTCATCAATCAAAATGACACCATTTAAAGCACTGTATGGGAAAGAGGCCACAACCATTCACGAATACAATCCAGGCTCAAACCAAACTACTTCTATTGATGAGTCACTAGTGAAACATCAACGATTAATTAAACTGTTGAAATCATCACTCACTCAAGCCCGAGAACGGATGCTTAAACAAGCAAATAAGAAATGCCAAGATAAGCAATTTGAAGTAGGTGATTTAATCTATCTAAAATTACACAACTACCGTCAGCATTGTGTGGTTTCCCGTGACAATCAAAAATTTTCCAAACGATTCTTTAGTCCTTACAAGATCTTGGAATGCATTGGCCCTGTCACATACTAATTACAGTTTCCAACCACATCCCATGTTCACCTAGTATTTCACATCTCATTACCAAAACAAAGCAATGATCAACCGGTTTTAGAAGATTTTCCAGCCGACTGGGTCACAAATGCAACAAATCAAACTTATTATTCAGAAATTATTCTCAAACACAAGCTGACAGCTGACAACACTTCTAAACTACTAATCAACAATGGGCAAACCAAGATACTTCTACAACCACATGGGAAGATGTTGAAGAAATAAGAATACACTTCCCTAACTTCCACCGTGGACTCGAGGATGAGTCACTTTTCGACAGGGAGGGAGTTGATACAGCCCAACATTCCCCAAGCCAGATGACAGCCCAACGGACAGAACCAAAACCAACAACTCGGTCCAAGAGAGTTATTAAGAAACCAGCTCGATTCCAAGAATAAACATATGACTTTTACCAAGTCAAGCTCCATCTTAGGATTACTTCTTCCTGTTCTTTTTCATGCATTATCAGTTCCCACTTCTCCATGTTCCTAAAGTTTAGCTGCACATTTCATAATTTTCTAGTTAGTATTTAAGAGTTGTAATTTTGTTTAATGATCATTCAGAAAATTGCTCCAAGTTCTGTTTTCTTTCTCTTACTTCTTGAGAGGTTGACCCCCTCTAAACAGGTTACATCAAAATACAATATGACATTCTAATTTATTTATTTATTATTATTATTATTATTATTATTATTATTATTATTATTATTATTATTTGCATTCAACACGATGCTCTGTAGGTATAAATGAAAAATACTATAAATTTCATATACTAATTAACCATCCATAGTTGATTGATAGAAACAACATTAAAGAAAAAACATGTTTGAGAATAAAAATCCATCATGTTGGTAATTTCTACTACATAAAACTTCCATAAAAAACTAAAGAAAGAACATCCATGGACCAATTATAGAGGGATTGTCCCAGACATCAAACTATACCAGCTCTATATTCTGGAAAAAAAAAACACAACAAATAATGAGATTTCCTATAACTACAAGACATGATTTTACCCAACTTCAAGAACATGGTATTTTACATCCTTATACTGTCTTGAAGTAATGCCAATATTGTTATCAAAAGATAGGAAGAGTGTTAGCAACTTGGTGGATGCAAAGAAAGAATACAACATTCGATCATTAAACCAAAAGTAGAATGTTGTGAAATTAATAACGAACCATATATGCTTTTTTAGAGGACCATCCCATTTATATAGTGATTCAAAAATTCCCTAGCCTATGTAGCTACGATCGAAACCAACATCTTTTCCTCAAAATGAGTGTCATCTTTCCAAAGAATACCGGACTATATGAGAAATAAAAATTAAACTATCAATTAACAAAACATAAAGTTATTGCAAATTTACAATAGAACCAATGAAAAGATATTTAAAAAGTACTTACTTTATTTGGGAATCCATATTGTTTGGTCAAGACAAAGTCAAACATACATCTCATTAAATAATATCTACTCTCTACAACACCAAGTTGTTGGTTGCACAAAAACTGTAATAGAAAGAAAACATTAACATGGCAAAGAAAACAACATCAATTTGTTTGGATGTAAATGATATAAACTACCTCAACGAGAATCCATCCAATAGGAGTTGATATGTCTTTTTCATATCTCGTGAAATCCCTAAAAATAAAAATCAATAGTGTGGTTCAAATTTATTACAAAATAATAATTTTTCGATTATACTAATAAATTTCTTACATGTCCAAGCAGTAACTATCGACAGGCTTTTCTATAGGCTTCTTAAAAGAATCCAAAACGTACACAGTGCGATTGCGGGGACAAATCACCAAGAGAACCCGGTGCTTACTAGTAATTATTAAGAATGTTAGTATATATAAACAAATAAAACAAATAAATAAAAATAAATATATTAGTTTATCGTACTTTTGCAAATATGGTGCAATGAGAAACAATTGTCCTTGATGAAGACGTATCGCATCAACAAGATAATTGACACCCTCAGGATTTTTTTGACAAGCTTCCCTAGTATCTTATATGTGTTTAGGAAAGCACATTTGTTCATACATGTTCGAGCATTAAATGTAGAATCCTACAAAAAAGTGTGTTACAGTCAACTAAAATCATTGAAGCTACCTAATCATTATGGCAACACATAATAGTTTTTGAGGTACTTACATCTCCCAAGTTGTTATAATGGAAATATATGTTGTTTGTTTTCTCAACAAGTGAAAATAATCTTCACATGTAACCGGAAAATGATATGTCCCAACTTGAAAATTCCTAGAATCAACTACGATGTGAACCACTGGGTTGGTCTTCAAATAATGACTAAGAAACTCAATCAGTCTTGCTTTGTTGGTTGTTTGGACATGCATGTTCTTTTTACCACCCCTGCGGTTGCTGGTCTCAAACTTGTGGTTTCATTTTGTTGCTTTGTTCGTTGTTCCTACATGGATGAGAATAATTGCAATTCGTGACCATTGAATTACAGGAACATGAACATTTTTAAAATCTTCATCAATTTTGTCTATTAAAACCTTCAAGTGATTTTCACGAAAAGGAAGTGAGTGGATTAAGCCATTATCATACGGAAAGACCAGTCCTTTGGCACATTTTTGGTTCCTTTCCCCATGTCATATAACTCTCCGGAGAAATAAACCCATTTGTAGCATTGGAACCAGCTTGTTTATTTTAATCATTTAACCCGTTTCCACACTTTAAACCGTATCATATTACTCTTCTTTTCATAAAACCCGGTTTCTACATAATATAACCTAGTTTTTTGAGAAACCATGTCCTGTGTGGCAGGTCCTATGTAGCTTTCTGTAGCAGTGACATATGTATGATTATCACTAAAATATATTAAGCATAATGTTAATGTGTGATTATGCTCCTCTAGTTCATCTTGATTCTTTGTCTTCAACTTAGTTGTTAAGGAGAAACATATGAGAAATTTATGCCCCTTCCATTTGATGCCTTAGGCGGTTGTTCAAGCTGCCTCGGGCTTGGGGCAACCATCTGTGAAGTTGTGCATGATGATCTCATGCAATATTTACTTCGTTGAGAATCATGTACTTAATGATGTTTAGATGTTTAGAAGAAACTTCTTAGATGCGAAAAAACTATAGTTGATGATATAGACAGACACTTGGTATATCTTAGGATGTTATAGCCAAAATGAGTTTCACTCAGTTACAAAAGTTAGGGTTGTTCACTACTAAAGGATCTATTTTTACATTTTGCGAAAAATCATGAACAACGGTATATTTGTGTTTTTTTTTTCGATAAAAACATGGCCTAAAAAAATTAAACTAAAAAAAAAGTAAATGAGTTTAGTTATAATCCGGTGCATCTACGTCCATTGTAAAAGTTTACGATCTTTCTTTTTCCGTTGATTGTTTTAAATTCTGACGCTTTAGATTGGTTCTTTGGTTTCTTGATTACCAATGATTTTTTTTTTCTCTCTCTCTCTCTCTATATGTGTGTGTGTGTGTGTATATATCTTTACTATCTTATAAAAGAAATCTAACTATTTCTAAAAATAGATTGATTATAATAATAATAATATTTTTTAAGACGTCCAAATGATGAAGCTGATAGTACAAGTAACAATTAATAAAATAATATTAAATTTTAACCACATTTTGATTTCAAAAATTTATCATCAAATCTCCTTATATTTCTCAGCAATTTGATATGGTTCCCTAAAATCCCGAATTCATTCAAATTTTGAACCCTTTTAGATATTCTTAAATTTAGCATGTTGATTCAAATATCCCTCCAATCGCATATACTTCTTTGTTCCCTCGTCTGCTATAAAGTCCACCGTCCAGGAACAAAAAATGACTTCATCTCCCAAATAACACCATAGTTTGATTATTTTGTCATCGATATGTACTTTCTTTTGTAACATAACATTTTTGTAGAGGAAACATATCACCGAAAGAATTTACACGCCCCGCCGCTTTGCGCGGGTACACTGCTAGTATATATATATATATATATATATATATATATATATATATATATATATATATATATATATATATATATATATATATATATATATATTCTCTCTCTCTCTATGTGTGTGTGTGTGTCTATATATATATATATATATATATATATATATATATATATATATATATCTATATATATATATATATATATATATATATATATATATATATATATATATATATATATATATCAAAATAAATCAGGTACCTTTTGCCTAAAGAATCAGTTTTCCTTTCAACTTATCTTGTTACTTTAAAAATCGTTAGATTTCAATAGTGGTTTATTATTAAAATCAACAAAACTAATATTGATTCTCAAGCCAAGTATTGTGTTGTTGATACAGTCATTTATAAAACATATATTTTAAAGATCTCTTGTCATGTTTCATTTGGAATTCCTACAAGTGATTCTCATTGTCTTTAATCAAATTATCCTCACCCCACCCAAGGGCCAAGAGGAATCTCGAGTTTCAACAATGTCAACCGGAGAAAAAGACTCAGACTTCCATGCCACAGAAATGTATTTGAGCCATGCTTATTCTCTATTTATTCAAAAGGTTTAGATTTAGGATTAAGATTAGATGAGTGTGCGTTAGTTGTCCTAAAAATAAAATAAACTTTTATAATTGAACATCTGATGGTGTTTTATTTGGTGCTAATCGTTTTCATTTGGTTTTCTATTTTTATCTTGAGTTTTGAAGGTATGCAATAGTTACAGGATCAAACAAGGGAATAGGCTTAGAATTATGCAAGCAACTGGCTTCCAAAGGGGTTCGAGTTGTGCTAACTGCTAGAGATGAAAACAAAGGCAAAAAAGCAATGGAAAGTCTTAAAGATCATGCCCCTTTTCAAAATGATAATATAGTTTTTCATCAACTTGATGTGTTGGATCCAACTAGCATCTCTTCTCTTGTTGAATTTATGAAAGCCAAATATTGGAAGCTTGATATTTTAGTATGATTTAATTTTAGTTCTTTTTTAACATAGAATAGTTATCAAGTGCTTTTATAGAGAATTAAAAAAAAAAAAAAAATCACAGGTGAATAATGCCGCAGTTTTAGGAGTGAGTGTAGACGCCCGTGCATTAGAAGCTTCAATAAATGGCAAGGTATGTATTTAGATGTTAAAGTATTTATTGATACTATAAACTTTAATCTCTTGAATTTCTTCAAATCAGTTTATTGAAATAAGTTGATTCCCATCAAGGCATCACCCCTTACGATTCTTGATTAAGATTTCCATCATGGGTTGTGATCGTCCTTTATACATGGTACCATATCCTCATAATTCGATTTTTACAGGAGCCAGGACATATCAAATGGGAGGAAGTTTCAACACAACCATATAATTTAGGAGAAGAATGCATTCAAACAAATTATTATGGAGCAAAGAGGATGGTTGAAGCTTTCATGCCTCTTCTCTTGTTGTCTGAATCTCCAAGAATTGTTAATGTTTCATCTAGTTCTGGAAAATTGAAGGTGAAAACCTAAATTATCTAATAATTTGTCCTTGGTGCATCTTAACTTTAACATTGATTTCATAACACAAACTTGTCAAATAACGTTTTTACCATGAATATACTAAAAGATGGTTGAATATTAAGCATACCATATAAGTACTACTAAAGTCTAAAGTGCTAATAGTAAAATTTAAAATATATATATATATATATATATATATATATATATATATATATATATATATATATATATATATATATATATGGAAAATTTCATATATGCCCTTCTTAAACATCAAAATATCATATTTACCCAACTTAATTTCTAAATATCATATTTAACATTTATAAAATTTCTAAATATCATATTTACCATTCATAAATTTTCAAAATATCATATATGTCCTTTTTAAACATCATAATATCATATATATATACCCTTCTTAAATATCAAAATATCGTATATGCACTTTTTAAACATCAAAATATCAATGATAATATCTAAAATATTCTTCATCTATAACATAATCAACAAAAAAACTAAACAATCAAAATATACATTCCATAGAGAAGGTTGAAAATGAATATTTTTGTTTGTCAAGAAGACAACATTCCAACAATTTACAAGTTCACATTCCATTATCATAGACGTAAGGATAATATCGCTAAATATTTTAATTATTATAGTAATTTTAAGTTATAAAAAGTGATTATAAAATATTAAAAACATTATAAAAAAGGATTTGGGCAAATATGATATTTTGAAGGTTTATGAAGGATAAATATGATATTAAGAAATTAAGCAGGGTAAATATGATATTTTGAGGTTTAAGAAGGGCATATATGAAATTCTCCCATATATATATATATATATATATATATATATATATATATATATATATATATATATATATATATATATATATATATATATATATATATATATATATATAGACTTATCCATGTAACATAATTTTTGATCAAATTACTAAAATTATCTGTTGTTTTGCAGTTTGTAATCAACGAGTGGGCTAGTAACATCTTAAACGACATCAAAGCTCTCAGTGAAGATCGAATCGACAAGATTCTTGAAATTTTTCTTAAAGATTTAAAAGAGAATTCATTAGAAACGAAGACGTGGCCTACATTCTTATCGGCATACACAATATCAAAAGCAGCCATCAACGCATACACAAGATTATTGGCAAAGAAGCATCCAAGCATTATCATAAATTCTGTTTGCCCAGGATACGTGAAAACAAGTATAAATTACTTTTCAGGATACTTGAATGTTGAAGAGGGTGCACAAAGTATCACGAGGCTTGTGTTACTGCCCATGGATGGGCATTCTGGTCTTTTCTTCTATAGAGATGACATATCGTCATTTTAGTTGAAAACCATGGTTTGTACAAGGGATGGTATTTAGAACCGGAAAACCAGAACCGAAACCGGAATCGGACCGGAACTCGTACCGTTAGAACCGGAATATATAGAACCGATTCCGGTTCCGGGTTCAAAAATTGGCTTTATATATCCGGGTTCCGGGTAATCCAGGTTTGGGTCCATCGGGTCCGGGTAAACCGGGTTTAAAAACCGGAACCACATTTTAGGGCCGGAATCAGTTTTTTGTGAAACGTTTAAAAGATGCATATCTCATTTGTTTCAACTCCGATTGACATACGGTTTTTTTCAACATGTAGTTTAGAGTTTGTACATGATTTTAGACTATAAATTTGTCATTTTTAGTCTTATATTTATTGACTTACAGTCCCCCAAAGTCGATATATCAAAGCTGAAAGTTTTTAATTTTTCAGCTTTTTTGTATTCGGTGAAAGTTTTAAAACATGCATATCTAATTCGTTTGAAATCGGATTGACATGTGGTTTTTTTTGCAACTTATAGTTTACAGTTTATACATGATTTTAGACTATAATTTTGTCATTTTTGGTTTAACATGCAATGATTTATAGTTCTCCGAAGTCAGGATATCAAAACTAAAAATTTTCAACTTTTCAATTATTTGTTTTTGTACTTTGTATTATGTGAAAATGTTTTTAACTTTCGTTTAAAGTCGGATTGACATGATGTTTTCTCCGGAGTGTATTTTATAGTTTGTACATAATTTTTACTATAATTTTGTTAATTTTGGTTTCATATTCAATAAGTTACAATCCCCTAAAGTCGGGATATCAATATGAAAATTTTCAAAGTTCAACCCACTAATTAAGTAATAAGTAATTACCAAAAAATTCCGGTTTTTTTGGTTCTAAACCCACTTTATCCGATTCCAACCTACCCACTTTAATGTTTCCGGGTTTTCCGGTTCTAGACCCACTTTACCTGAAACCGAACCGAAACCAATTCCTATATACCGGTCCGGTTTCCGGTTCTACAAAATCCCGTTAACCGGTTCCGGGTTTTACGGGTCCGGATCCATCCGATCCGGGTTTGGACCCACTTTCATCCCTAGTTTGTACTTGTAGTTATGGAGGTCTCTATCATTTGTAATATATGTAACTTAAGTCTTATATCATTATTTTGGATATTCATGATGCTAGCTCATATAATCGAAAATGTTTCTAGGATGACTAATTACAAGATGATTGAACATCGATCCACTTTCATCATAACGGATTGGATGCTTTATGGTTCTTGTAGGCCGATTCGGAATGGTTGTGGTTGGTTAAGGATTCTAGATCGTATCTCCAAACATCAAACAAAAAGAGATAAAAGGTTAATTTAGTGTAAAAGATAAAAATCAAATAAAAATAAAAGATTAGTAAGTGTATATAAGTTATTATAAGAGCATCCACAATACTTTCATCTGAAAACCGTCTTTGGCAAGCTGTTGCGGTTTTTAAGAGAACAATATGAGATACAACAAGATAACATCAAAAGTTAAGAATGAAAGCAAGATGCACAACACAGCAACGTCAAAGAACTAAATGGTAAATAATCTTATTTGCATCCACATCAACAGGCAAAAAAGTGTACTTGTATTAAAACATAAGGTTATTTTGCTAAAATGAGAATATTAATTAACATATTACACTTTTATTGACAAACATGGAAAAATTCTAGCAAGTTTATCAATTGGAGAAGTCACAAAGTCGAAACCATTTTTCAACCCTGCTTCTAGAAAACAATTAAACAATTGCTTATTAAAAAGACGATACAATCTAATAAGGAAGGAGATAAAGATGCTTCTGAAAGACATGAAATTTGCAGAGAAAAAAAAAAAAAAAAAAAAAAAAAAAAACTCATTTTTTTGGTGGAAGGTTCCTCTTGATTCTTTTTAACTTGAAATTACTATGATACCTAAAAAAGCTGCAATTTATTGGGTTAATTATTATCATGAATATTAGGATACATCAAATTCCATAGTTGACGACGTAATGAATATCAAATTATTGATGCATATTTCAAACTCCTACCTCCAGAAGTGCATTCTAAGATAATCTTAAAAACCTTGCGCGAATTCTAAGATGTTTTCATCTAGCATCTGGTCTTAAGGTAAACTTTCATAAATCAAGAGTTTTTGGTACTGGCGCTACTGTGCAAGAAACAAAAAATTAGGCTAGCTTGCTGGGGTGTGAAGCTGGTGTTCTCCCTTTCAACTACCTCGGGGTTCCGATGGGAGCCAATATGAATCTCATAAGAAACTGGAAGCCCATAATTATGAAATTCCAATCCAAACTTTCTCTCCGGAAGGCCAAAACCCTCTCATTTGGTGGCAGATTAACGTTAATAAAGGCAGTTCTAGGTAATTTGCCCACCTACTACTTATCATTATTTAAGGCCCCGAAAGGTGTAATAGACGAGATGGAGAAAATTAGAAGAACTTTCTTATGGGGTGGCTGTGATGATCGAAATAAGATACACTGGGTAGCTTGGGACAATGTCATGGCAGATAAAAGTGACGGTGGATTGGTTGTAGGATCGATACAATCTTTAAACTATGGGTTACTTGTGAAATGGTGGTGGCGGTTAAAAAACGAAAAAAAAAAAAAAAAAAAAACTTTCTTTGGGCCCGGATAATCCATGGGATCCACAATTTGTCGAATAAGCCCTTCGATTACTTATCTCGACAGACGGGCAGTGGGGTGTGGATCAACATTGGGCGTATTAAAGAGGACCTGTTAAAGTACGGTCTAGTACGGTCTGGGAGTTCACGATTTGTTCAAACAAGTGATAAAGGGCGGAAAGGAAACACTATTCTGGTATGACCCATGGGCAAGTTCTGGGATCTTGAAAGACAAATTTCATCACCTGTTTGAGCTTGAAACTAGGAAAAAGTGTTCTGTTGCTGACAGAATTTCAGGAGCAACCATCTCTTGGAATTGGAAGTATCACCCCCCCTGATGTTGGATTAGGTCCGGATGTGCAAGCACTAACTAATGACATCTCTAGTATTCGTTTAACTCCGGGAGGTGATCAATGTAGGTCTATGTTAACAGGTGATGGTTCGTACACAGTAAGATCAATTAGGAAGGTTATTGAGAAACTTCCTACCTCTATTACGGGCACAGCGATAATACAGTGGTATAAGGTGGTCCCAATAAAGGTGTCATGTTTCGTATGGAGAGCTGTACAAGGTAGAATACCCGTAGCAACTGCTTTGGAGAGGCGGGGTATTAAGGTGAATTCATTGTGGTGCAACGTATGTATTGGTCAACAGGAAAGTGTAGATCATGTTCTCATCAACTGCCCGTTCGCGTCCAGAATTAGAAGCAATATCATGAGTTGGTGTGGTGTAACGATGGATCACAGGTTAATAAGGAACACTAGAGATCTTCTTCACGTTATATCGACATGGGGGAGTTGTCTGAAGAGGAGAAAACGGCTAGCTATCATATGCCAAGGAATGTTATGGAGTCTATGGTGGTTCTGGAACAAACGATTATTTCTGAAGGAAGGAATGTCGCTGGTGCAAGGGACTAAATGTATTAAAACAATGGTTTTTTATTGGCTTAAACATAGGGGTAAAAAGGTAATATGTAATTGGGATGATTGGTTAGTGTCCCCTTTTATTGGCTTGTAATTGTTATCTTTGTACGTTGCTTGGGGCCCTCTTCTAGTCACTTGCTAGTTGAGGCTTTTCCCTCATTTAATATATTTTCCGTTTCCAAAAAAACCTCCAGAAGCGCATTACTGTAATCAAAACAAATAAATATGAAATCAAAATTCCATATTTAAACCAGAAAATAGTAAAATACCTCCTTAACTGAAGGGAATTCCAATTCCCCAACTCATACAAATCGGGAATCATTAAATCTAAATAGTGGTAGAAAATAATTAAACGGGAGAAATGAGAATTAGGAACCAGAAATAGTAGATTGAAAATCTTAGTTCAAACTCCATCTCTCACAAATCGCCAAATCGAGAATTGAAAATAGGAGAAATCAGATTTAGAAGTTGGGATTCATTCAATTTAGAGATGTTCTTTGTGACTCCTCGATCTTCTACAACTTTCAATTTTCTAGGTATCGACTGGCAATCAGCCAATCACAAATGCCGATTACAGCTCTCAAGGTGTTCAGTGGGTTGAATTATTTCACATTTGGCACCTACGTCGTGCACCTTTTCCTTCGGTGTCGTCTTTGTCTACAGAAATCAATAGGCTAGCTATTGGGATAAAAACATTGGTCCAAAAAGATTTTATATACTAAACTGCTGCTGCCCCTTAATACTTGTTGCCCTGGGCCTTAACCCATCTCGGCCAGGTATTGGGTCGGGCTGTGTGTAATTGTTAAAGATTTTGTGGTCAATTGTGATGGGAAGACCAACCACCACATCCAATAGGCTTCTTTCTCTCTATCTCTCTACAATAATATATATATATATATATATATATATATATATATATATATATATATATATATATATATAATAGGGATATAGTGATAGATATATCAACCTTTTAGTGATTATGTGTAATGATCAAGTGACATTCACTACTATAATGATTAGTGATGAGTATTATGGATGACCATTAATATATAACAAAAGCGTTCCAAAACTCAACTTTTGACCTCATTTTACCAACAAATAACTTATCTATCTCGATTTTAACACTTTTTATTTTATTTATCAAGTTAATATAACATATTTTTATTTTATAATATATTAAAAATTGAATCTTGATGTATCTATTTGTCAGTTGACTATCGACCGAATGATTATAGGAAGATCCATTGTAAATCACAATTTTATTGATATTTTACTTGAATTGATGTTCTAAACATTTTAATACTCTCAAGGAAAAGGAAAAGGAGAGCCCAAATAAGGAGATTAACACTACAACAACTAATCTATAGTAGGATTTTTGGGCTTTATGTTTAATCCAAATAAAACTAGACTAGGACCATGTTTTGTTTACAGTTGTTAGGATCTAAATTTTTAAAATTGTCTCAATTTTTAAATATTGTTTCCTTGGAATCTCTAAATTACAATGTTGAATGATTAACATGACTATTTTACCCTTTTATGTTAATTTTGATGAATTCAATGTTTTTATTTATAAAATAACTGAATCAACTTACTGAATAATTATAAAAAACAATATAAACACCGTATCAGATTCAGATTAAACATAAATCAAAATTAAACACAAACATAAATCTAAATCAAACATAAATATTTTCAAATCCACTAAATCATACTAAAATCCAAATAAAATCCTACAAATTTAATTTGAAGCATCTGAAAATAATCTTATTGAAATCTGATCATGTAAATTAGCCATGTATTTGTTTCCTTCTGAACTTCATTCCA